AAAGTAAAGTTTCTGTGTTTTATTTTTGGAAAGTTCTACGTGATTATATAAAACACACGATACCGTTGGTCTGGAAGGGTAAAAATAAATTCTAAAATGAACTTGAAGTCTTTGCGGCGGCGTTAAAATCTGTAAATGTGCTGAGAGTGATAATGTCCCGATTCTGAGTGCTGTTTTTTTTGTTTATTTCTCTGCAGAATAAATGCGTTTTTGTGTTGTTTTCGGTTTCCGTGTGGGCAGAAAGTGAAAGTGTTTTGATGTGGTTTTGGCGTGGGAGGCGGCACCAGAGGTTGAGACGCGTTTTAACATCACAGATTCGAGTTTAATGTATTCAGAGACAAAAACGAGGAACGCTGAAGCCGACGGGACCACGGCGACGCGGTGACTCACACAACGCAGCAGACGCAAACCCAAATGTGACTCCAAATGTGACGGACGAGATTAAAAACAGATTAAAAGCACGAAAATTAAACGTACAATATGTAACTTTACCATTTTAGTGGAGGGTTAATGCTTTTGTCCAGAATGTTCCACAGTCTGGCATTAAACGCGTCTGTCTTTATTGGTTACTTAGTGTTTATAAAATAGCCTCGGAAAAACTCCTCTCCGCAGACCTGACCTGTCTTCAGAGAGATATATACGTTTAATAATGCCTCACTGTGGAACTTTTCATATCAAGCAGTAGCATCTCCATGGAAACGAGCGGGAGCCTCTGTCAGAAAAGTTACATAATGAGGTAAAAGTAGTAGTAGTTGTAGTTGCAGCAGTAGTAGTGCTAGTGACAGTAGTAGTACTAGTAGTAGAAGTAGCAGTAGGAGCAGTAGTACTTGTCGTTGTAGTAGGAGGAGGAGCTGTAGTGGTAGTGGTGGTGGTGGTAATGGTAGTAGTTGTGGTAGTAGTAGTTTTAGTAGTAGTAATGGTAGTAGTTGTGGTAGTGGTGGTGGTGGTGGTAGTAGTAGTAGTTAGTAGTGTGTAAGTAGTAGTGGTGGTAGTAGTAGTGTAGTGGTGGTACAGTAGTAGTGGTGTAGTGGTCAGTAGTAGTAGTAGTAGTAGGTAGTTGTGGTGGTAGTAGTAGTTGTGGTGGTAGTAGTAGTAGTAGTAGTGGTAGTGGTGGTAGTAGTAGTAGTCGTGGTGGTAGTAGTAGTGGTGGTGGTAGTGGTAGTGGTAGTAGTAGTAGTAGTAGTGAGTGGTGGTGTAGTAGGTAGTGGTAGTAGTGTGTGTGGTAGTAGTAGTAGTAGTAGTAGTAGTGTAGGTGTGTAGTAGTAGTAGTAGTAGTAGTGTGGTGGTAGTAGTAGTGTGGTGGTCAGTAGTTGTGTGAGTAGGTAGTAGTGTGTGTAGTAGTAGTAGTGGTAGTAGTAGTAGTAGTAGTAGGTAGTAGTGGTAGTAGTAGTGTGGTGGTAGTAGTAGGTGGTAGTAGTAGTGTAGTAGTGTAGTAGTGTGGTGGTGGTAGTAGTAGTAGTGGTGGTAGTAGTGTGTGGTAGTAGTAGTAGTAGTAGTAGTAGTAGTAGCAGTAGTAGTAGTAGGTAGTGTGTAGTAGTAGTAGTGTGTAGTAGTAGTGGTAGTGAGTAGTGGTAATAGCTCCTGTCGTCCGCTCCTGTCGTCTGCTCTGACTTTGTGTCTCTATATTTACTCTGCCAAATGTCTTCATGTGATCTGCTGCTCTAAATACTCTCACTCACTCAGTCTCTTTATATCAGCTCTTTGTTTAACGACAACGACGCTGAGGATCTGAACCCGCACGAGAACTCACAACCTCCAACAACAACACGTCTACTTTACTTTTATTTAACGACATGAGGTTTTACAGACATCAGAAATACAGAGAAATACAGAAAACAGACATTCTGATTGTGAGCGGGGTCGCCTCTCCACAGATCTGACCTGGAACTTGGTCTGGTTTTGGTTTTTGGAGTTTGAGTCCCATTGTCTGAGTTTCAGTCCCGATTCTTGACTCCTGATTCTAAGTTTGAGTCCCATTTTCTGAGCTTGAGTCCTGATTCCCGAGTCCTGATTCCCGAGTCCTGATTCCCGAGTGTGAGTCCTGATTCCCGAGTGTGAGTCTTGATTCCCGAGTGTGAGTCCCTTGTGAGTCTCCCGAGTGTGAGTCCCGAAGTCCCTATTCACAGTGTTTTCGTCCCGAGTTTGGAGTTTGATTTGATTCCTGAGTTTGAGTCTTGATTCCTGAGTTTGAGTCTTGATTCCTGAGTTTGAGTCTTGATTCCTGAGTTTGAGTCTTGATTCCTGAGTTTGAGTCTTGATTCCTGAGTTTGAGTCTTGATTCCTGAGTTTGATTTCCAAGTTCGAGTCCCGATTGACGAGTTCAAGTCCCAATTCACGAGTTTGAGTCCCAAGTTTGATTCCCGTGTTGGAGTCCTGATTCCTGAGTTTGATTCTCTAGTTTGAGTCCCAATTCACAAGTTTGAGTCCCGAGTTTGATTCCTGTATTGGAGTCCTGTTTCCTGAGTTTAATTCCTGAGTTTGAGTCCCGAGTTTGATTCCTGAGTTTGAGTCCCGATTCCCAAGTTTGAGTCCCGATTCCCAAGTTTGAGTCCCGATTCCCAAGTTTGAGTCCCGATTCCTGTGTTTGATTCCTGATTCCAGAGTCTCTATTTCCAAGTTTGACTCCCGATTTCCGATTCCTGAATTTGATTCCCGATTCCCGAGTCTCGATTCCCGAGTCTCGATTCCCGAGTCTCGATTCCCGAGTCTCGATTCCGAGTCTGAGGGAGGAGGGATAGAGAGATGGAGGGTGGGTAAAAAAACTGCATTTTTACTGTGGGCTCGCCTCTCCACAGATCTGACCATGGAGACAAAGAGGCAGCATTCTCTACATCAGAAAAGTTCCGTAGTGCAGCTTTAACTCGGCCGTGTGTTTTAGTTTTTCGTGTGTAGAATCATGAATGAGCAGCGTCTCTCGGTGTTTAAGAGGCTGGAGCTCGGGGCCGTGACTCGCGGTTCCCCGGCGGCCGCAGCAGCAAAGCCTGATGGGTAAAAAGGATCTGAAGCGCTCGTCTGCCGCTCGCATAAATCTGCATACGTAATGAGGAGAGACGCCGAGGGTTCGTTTAGAGACACTTACACCTCCGTCCCACTGAGAGAAAGAGAGGGAAGAGGAGGGAGAGAGGGAGGGAGGAGAGGAGAGAGAGAGAGGAGGAGGAGAGGAGGAAGAGAGGAGAGAGGGAGAGGAGGGAGGGAGGAGAGAGAGGGAGGAGAGAGAGGAGAGAGGAAGAGAGGAGAGAGAGAGAGAGAGAGGGAGAGAGGAGAGAGGGAGAGGAGAAAGAGGGGGAGGGAGAGGAGGGAGAGGAGGGAGAGAGAAAGAGAGGAAGAGGAGGGAGAGAGGAAGAGGAGGGAGAGACAGAGCAAAGGAAAGAGGAAGGAAACGGAGAGGGATGAAGATGGAGGGAGAGAAAGGGAAAGAGAAGGGGTGAGGAGAGAGAGGGAGAGAAAGAGGGAGAAAGAGGGAGACAGTGAAAAGAAGAGTGGAGAAAGAGGAAGAGAGACGGAGGGAGGAAAAGAGGGAGAGAGAGTGGAAGGAGGGATGAGGCAGTAGGAAGCTGAGAAGGAGAGAGAAGTGGAGCTTCGTCGGGAGCGTTCGTCGGGAGCGTTCGTCGGGAGCGTTCGTCGGGAGCGTTCGTCGGGAGCGTTCGTCGGGAGCGTTCGTCGGGAGCGTCGAGCGTTCGGAGCGTTCGTCGGGAGCGTTCGTCGGGAGCGTTCGTCGGGAGCGTTCGTCGGGAGCGTTCGTCGGGAGCGTTCGTCGGGAGCGTTCGTCGGGAGCGTTCGTCGGGAGCGTTTCGTCGGGAGCGTTCGTCGGGAGCGTTCGTCGGAAGCGTTTGTCCTTCGCTCCGTTCATGTTCGTCGGGAGCGTTCGTCGGGAGCGTTTGTCCTTCGCTCCGTTGGTGTTCGTCGGGAGTATTATCACCGTCCTCGCTCGTGTCAGTGATGCATGAGTCCCGACGACTGGCCTCCCCGAGAACAATGAGATAAAAAAAAGATCTATGGCTCAGCTTTTTATCAACAAAATTACACTTTTTAATCTCAAATTTATTCCACGTTTGTCTCCGGAAAAGGATTCGGAGGATTCGGAATGTTACAGTTTTGTGGATTTGACTTTCAGAGCAGCTTAAAGGACTCGTGTTACACTGTTTTATTTTAGTTTCCTCGTCTTAAACAGATCTGCAGTTGTGTTTTGTTTCATTCGTACGTTTAACTCACAAAAAATGCTGCAGATTTAGGCTGAGTTATTCTCTCTGTTCCACCTCGTGATGTCATCATGTGGTGATACAGGAAATACTCCACTGTGTTTTTAAATTCCTTACATCTTCACTAGAATCAACTGGATCATTTCACACAAAAAAATGAACCTCTTTTTATTCCAAAATGTCCTGATTTTGTCCTGGGTTAGTTTTGGGTTTTGTCCTGGATTTGTGCTGGTCTAGGGACCTGTTTTATATCTGAGTTTAGTCCTGGTTTAGTCCTGGTTTAGTCCTGGTTTAGTCCTGGTTCAGTCCTGGTTCAGTCCTGGTTCAGTCCTGGTTTAGACCTGGTTTAGTCCTGGTTTAGTCCTGGTTTAGTCCTGGTTCAGTCCTGGTTTAGTCCTGGTTTAGTCCTGTTTTAGACCTGGTTTAGTCATGGTTTAGTCCTGGTTTAGTCCTGTTTTAGTCCTGTTTTAGACCTGGTTTAGTCCTGGTTTAGTCCTGGTTTAGTCCTGGTTTAGACCTGGTTTAGTCCTGGTTTAGTCCTGGTTCAGTCCTGGTTTAGTCCTGGTTTAGTCCTGTTTTAGACCTGGTTTAGTCCTGGTTTAGTCCTGGTTTAGTCTTGGTTTAGTCCTGGTTTAGACCTGGTTTAGACCTGGTTTAATTCTGTTTTTTTGCTGGTTTAGTCCTGGTTTAGTCCTGGTTTAGTCCTGGTTTAGTCCTGGTTTAGTCCTGGTTTAGTCCTGGTTTAGTCAGTCTCTTTTCACAGATTCTAACTCCGTGTCTGTTGTGTTTTTGTGTTTCCAGGTTCGGAGTTCTGCTTCCGTAACTTCAGCAGTCCGTCCGGGATGATCGAGTCTCCGGGTTTTCCGGACAAATATCCTCACAACCTGGAGTGTTCGTACATGATCATCGCCCCGCCCCTCACCGACATCACGCTCACCTTCACCACCTTCGACCTGGAGAACGACCCCCTGCAGGTGGGCGAGGGCGACTGCAAGTACGACTGGCTGGACGTGTGGGACGGCCTGCCCCAAGGTACTACAAATACTACTACAAATACTACTACAAATACTACAAATACTAACTACAAATACTACAAGTACTAAAAATACTACAAATACTACAGATAATACAGATAATATAGATACTACAAATACTAATAATACTCAAGTGTGTACTGTACTGTAACTGTGAGAGTTTATATAAATGGACAGAGCTAACCTGGAAGTGAACATGGGGGCACTTCCGGCTCCATCGACTCTGGCTCCAGTTCACGTTCTATTGAAAAACCGTCGCCTGTTTCTTTGTTGCTGCTGATTTGAGCCTCGTTATTTTGGTCTTAAAATGTTCTCTCACTCTACTCTACTCTCTACTCACTCTTAGGACGATATGGAGCAAATCATTTATTTCGATATCTGTACAGGAAAAATAACCTCCCTAAAAAGTACTACAAAAACAAATACGCCAAATTCCACAAGGTCACGACTCCTTTAGTCCAGGTCTAAAACAAGACTTAACAAGGTCTAAACCAGGTCTAAACCAGGTCTAAACCAGATCTAAACCAGGACTAAACCAGGACTAAACCAGGTCTAAACCAGATCTAAACCAGGACTAAACCAGGACTAAACCAGGACTAAACCAGGTCTAAACCAGGTCTTAATCAGAACAAAACCAGGTCTAAACCAGATCTAAACCAGGACTAAACCAGGTCTAAATCAGCAAAAAAACAGAATTAAACCAGGTCTAAACCAGGTCTAAACCAGGTTTAAATCAGCACAAAACCAGGTCTAAACCAGGTCTAAACCAGGTCTAAATCAGCACAAAACCAGGTCTAAACCAGGTCTAAACCAGGTCTAAACCAGGACTAAACCAGCGAAAAAAACAGGTCTAAATCAGGTCAAAACCAGGACTAAACCAGGTCTAAACCAGGACAAAACCAGGACTGAACCAAGACTGAACCAGGACTAAACCAGGACTAAACCAGGTCTAAATCAGCAAAAAAACTGAATTAAACCAGGGCTAAACCAGTTTAAAACCAGGACTAAACCAGTTCTAAACCAGGACTAAAGTAAAGGGAGACAAAATCCTACAGGGGGGTCACTTTACTTTAGTGGTATGTCGACCTCGGGGTCAAAATCCTGTCTCACACCAGCCTCGATGAGCTTCATTTGACTGTCTCCACCACAAACAAACCCAGAGTTTTGTTTTGTTTCTGTCACACAAACACAAAAACTCTGCAGATTCAGGTTCAGTTTTGGAAACACAAACAAACAAAACCCGACTCCAGGTTTGTTTTTTTTCGAGGAGGTAACGGCATAAAAAAACAAACAAAAAAAAAAACCCCGATCTGAAGCTCACGGGAGGTAAACGTGCGCGATATTTGACCTTTAATATCTGAGATTCCACGAAAACAGAGCCAGACTTGTCGTAACGTTTCACCTTTGGGCCCAGACGCATAAATCCGGGTTAATCTGAATAATTCCCGGGAATGATCCAATGGGACAAAAGCGTTCTTAATATTATCTCGTGTTTCCTGCGCAGACGTATCGGGTCTTTGAAGGTTTTCCCGCTTCCTGGATTTGTTTACCAGGAGGAAACATTTAACACTGGCTCCTAAACGCGTCTCCTAGCTCCTTCGCTGCGGCCTTTCCTTATCTCCTCGTTTCCTTCCTCACGAAAAGGTTTAAGTGAAAGTCCGAGACCAAAAGGAAGAAAACATGAACTGAAAACAGAGTAAATCAACAGGGCTAAACCAGGACAAACCAGGTCAAAACCAGGTCTAAACCAGGACTAAACTAGGGCTAAACCATCTCAAAACCAGGTCTAAACCAAGGTCTAAACCAGGTCTAAACCAAGGTCTAAACCAGGTCTAAACCAGGTCTAAACCAGGTCTAAACCAGGTCTAAACCAGGTAAACTAAACCAGGTCTAAACCAGTAAACCAGGTCTAAACCAGGTCTAAACCAGGTCTAAACCAGGTCTAAACCAGGTCTAAACCAGGACTAAACCAGGGCTAAACCAGGACTAAACCAGGGCTAAACTAGGTCTAAACCATCTCAAAACCAGGTCTAAACCAAGTTCTAAACCAGGTCTAAACCAGGTCTAAACCAGGTCTAAACCAGGTCTAAACTAGGACTAAACCAGGGCTAAACTAGGGCTAAACCACCTCAAAACCAGGTCTAATCCACCTCAAAACCAGGTCTAAACTCGGGCTAAACCAGGGCTAAACCAGGTCTAAACCAAGTTCTGAACCAGGTCTAAACCAGAACTAAATCAGGGTGAAACCAGGTCGAAACTAGGGCTAAACCAGGTTCTAAACCAGATATAAACAGGGCTAAACCAAGACAAAACCAGGGCTAAACCAGGTCTAACCTAGGTTTTAACCAAGTTCTAAACCAGGTCTAAATCTGGTTCTAAACCAGATCTAAACCAGATCTAAACCAGATCTAAACCAGATCTAAACCAGGACTAAACCAGGTCTAAACCAGGTCTAAACCAGATCTAAACCAGATCTAAACCAGGACTAAACCAGGTCTAAACCAGATCTAAACCAGATCTAAACCAGGACTAAACCAGGTCTAACCCCGGTCTGTCGCGCTGCTTTAAATAAGTGGTCTGGTCTCGTGCAGATTGTGTTGGATTATCAGAGTCCCAGCGTGAGTCCTGTTTAAGTCTCCGCTTTAACACGATCCAAACTCCCAGATCCATCTGTCCACAGACCTGAGCCAGGACCCCGACCGGGACAAGACCGACCAGATTCACACACCACACCACAGACCTGATGTAGTCCACGCCACAGACCTGAGCCAGGACCCCGACCGGGACAAGACCGACCAGATTCACACACCACACCACAGACCTGATGTAGTCCACGCCACAGACCTGAGCCAGGACCCCGACCGGGACAAGACCGACCAGATACACACACCACACCACAGACCTGATGTAGTCCACGCCACAGACCTGATGTAGTCCACACCACAGACCTGATGTAGTCCACACAAAGACCTGACCACACCCAGACCTGACACACCACAGACCTGATGTAGTCCACACCACAGACCTGATGTAGTCCACACCACAGACCTGATGTAGTCCACACTAAAGACCTGATATAGTCCACACCACAGACCTGATGTAGTCCACGCCACAGACCTGATGTAGTCCTGACTGAACCATTTTTATCAGGGATGGTTTAGTCCTATTTAAGACCTGGTTTAGTCCAGGATCGTGCCCGTATAAGATCTGGTTTAGTCAAGGTTTAGTCCTAGGGTTATGTTCACATTTGGTCCTGTTCCAGTCCTGGTCTAGTCCAAATTTAGTTCCAGATTTAGTCCAAGCATAGTCCCAGTTTATCCCTGGTTTAGTCTTAATTTAGTCCTGGTTTAGTCCTGCTTCTTAGTCCTGGTTTAGTCCTGCTTTAGCCCCTGGTTTAGTCCTGGTTCTGTCCTCAGGAGTCTTTAGTCCAAACTCTAGTCTCTGTTCTCGTCTGTCGCCTCCAGCTCCGTCTCCGTCTCTTTTTCTGTGAAATCTGGGTTAGACTTTCATCCTCGTCGTTCTCTCTTTAAACGGGAGAAATTGTTTTTTAGCCTCTGAATTCACAACTATAATTGGAATTTAAAATCCTCTCGTCCTTTTTTTCTTTTTGGAATAATTAGGCCAATCTCCTCTTCAGTCTGAGTTTAATAAAGACACAAAGAGAAAGATCGAGGAGAAGAGCCGACGAGACGGATCCAAAACACAACGAAAAATCTGAAATAAGACAGACTCACAGTCACAAAATAGACCTGGTTTAGACCTGATTTAGTCCTGGTTTAGACCTTGGTTTAGTCCTGCTTTAGACCTTGGTTTATAGACCTGGTTTAGACCTGGTTTAGACCTGGTTTTCTTTAGTTAAAGTCTTGGTTTTGACACTGTTTTTGCCTGGTTTAGTCCTGATTTAGACCTTGTTAAGTCTTGGTTTAGTCCTGGTTTAGTCCTGGTTTAGACCTGGTTTAGACCTGGTTTAGACCTGGTTTAGACCTGGTTTAGACTTGGTTTAGACCTGGTTTAGTCCTGGTTTAGACCTGGTTTAGACCTGGTTTAGACCTGGTTTAGACCTAGTTTTTAGTCCTGGTTTAGACCTGGTTTAGACCTGGTTTAGACCTGGTTTAGTCCTGGTTTAGACCTGATTTAGTCCTGGTTTAGACCACTGGTTTAGACCTGGTTTAGACCTGGTTTAGTCCTGGTTTAGTCCTGGTTTAGACCTGGTTTAGTCCTGGTTTAGACCTGATTTAGTCCTGGTTTAGTCCACTGGTTTAGACCTGGTTTAGACCTGGTTTAGACCTGGTTTAGACCTGTTTTAGTCCTGGTTTAGTCCAGTTCCAGTTCTCTCTAAATCGATTCTTCACTCTGTGTTTGTGTTTTGAACTTGACATTTCAAACTAAAGAAAAACAAACCGAGACTAATTCATGTTTTTCATTTTCCTCTCGGTAAATTGGACTTTTTGTATCTGTGCTGTTTTGGACTCGGGGTAAAACTGAATCTGGATCCGAGCCGCGAGTCGAGACGTGGAGATCCTCTCTGACCTTTGTGAGCGACACTTTCACTGCTCTGCTTTATCACTTATACAACACAAAAACAAAAACACAGAGAAAACAGCAGCACTTTAAACGAAAAACACTTTAACACTGGATTATCAAAGTGAAAATAGTGACTACTGATTCTAAACCAGGTCCTAAACAAGTCTAGGTCTAAACCAGGTCTAGACCAGAGATGCAAGTCTAAACCAGGACTAAACCAGGACTAAAACAGGTCTCATCCAAATCTAAACTAGGTCTAAACTACCAGGACTAAACAAGGTCTTTACAAACAAACTAGGTCTAAACCGACTCTAAACCAGGTCTAAACCAGGTCTAAACTGACTCTAAACCAGGTCTAAACCAGGTCTAAACCCAGGTCTAAACTGACTCTAAACCAGGTCTAAACCAGATCTAAACCAGGCACGATACCAGGACTAAATCAGGTCTAAATCAGGTCTAAATCAGGTCGAAATCAGGGCGAAATCAGCACAAAACAAGGGCGAAACCAGGTCTAAACCAGGACTAACCCCAGGACTAAACCCAGGTCTAAACCAAGGACGAAACCAGGTTTAAACCGGATCTAAACCAGGTCTAAACACAGGTCTAAACCAAGGAAGATACCAGGTCTAAACCAGGTCTAAACACAGGTTGAAAGCAGGACTAGGACATCAGGACTAAACCAGTTCTACGACAGATTTAAACCAGGATTTTATCAGGTCCAAGCCAGGTGCAAATGAGATTTAAACTGCCGTGTACTAACCAGGTCTGACCCAGGTCTGACCCAGGTCTGACCCAGGTCTGACCCAGGTCCGACCCAGGTCTGACCCAGGTCCGACCCAGGTCTGACCCAGGTCTGATCCAGGTCCGATCCAGGTCTGACCCAGGTCCGACCCAGGTCCGACCCAGGTCCGACCCAGGTCTGACCCAGGTCTAATCCGTACCTCAGTCCTCCTGATATTCCTGATGTTCCTGAAGTTCCTGATGTTCCTGAAGTTCCTGATGTTCCTGAAGTTCCTAATGTTCCTATTGTTCCTGATGTTCCTGATGTTCCTAATGTTCCTAATGTTCCTGATGTTCCTAATGTTCCTGATGTTCCTGAATGTTCCTGACGTTCCTAATGTTCCTGACGTTCTTGATGTTCCTGAAGTTCCTAATGTTCCTAATGTTCCTGACGTTCTTAATGTTCCTATTGTTCCTGATGTTCCTGATGTTCCTGATGTTCCTAATGTTCCTATTGTTCCTATTGTTCCTGATGTTCCTGATGTTCCTGATGTTCCTGATGTTCCTAATGTTCCTATTGTTCCTATTGTTCCTGATGTTCCTGATGTTCCTGATGTTCCTAATGTTCCTATTGTTCCTATTGTTCCTGAAGTTTCTAATGTTCCTAATGTTCCTGAAGTTCCTGACGTTCCTGTTTGTGTTGCAGTGTCTCCTCTGATTGGTCGGTACTGCGGGACAAAGATCCCTCCTGAGATCCGGTCTTCGTCCGGACTCCTGTCCCTGTCCTTCCACACGGACATGGCCGTCGCTAAAGACGGATTCTCCGCTCGATACAACATGACGCACAAAGAAGTCAGCGACTGTGAGTCAACTTTACCTTTTATTCATTTATTTAAAGTTCTAATGTGGAACTTTTCTGGTGAACGGTCTGCAAGGAGCTTCAAGTCTAAAACTGAACTAAACCAGGACTAAACCAAGACTAAACCTGGTCTTACACAGGACTACATGTGGACTAAAAAAGACCTAAACCAGTGGACTGCACCAGAACCTAACCAGGACTAAACTAGGACTAAACCAGATCTAAACCAAGACTAAAACTGGTTTTATGCACGACTAAATGTGGACTAAATGTAGGCCTAAACCAGTGGACAAATCCAGAACACTAGGACTAAACCAGGACTAAACCAGAACTAAACTAAAACTGAACCACGACTAAACCAGGACTAAACCAGGACTAAACTAGAACTAAACTAAAACTGAACCACGACTAAACCAGGACTAAACCAGGACTAAACCAGAACTAAACCAGGACTAAACTAAAACTGAACCACGACTAAACCACGACTAAACCGGGACTAAACCAGAACTAAAACTAAAACTGAACCAGGACTAAACTAGGACTAAACTAAACTGAACCACGACTAAACCAGAACTAAACCAGGACTAAACCAGAACTAAACTAGGACTAAACTAAAACTGAACCACGACTAAACCACGACTAAACCAGGACTAAACCAGAACTAAACCAGAACTAAACCGGAACTAAACCGGAACTAAACCGGACTAAACCGGAACTAAACCGGGACTAAACCGGGACTAAACCGGGACTAAACCAGAACTAAACCAGAACTAAACCAGGACTAAACTGGGACTAAACCAGGACTAAACTAAAACTGAACCAGGACTAAACCAGGACTAAAACCAGGACTAAACCAGAACTAAACCAAACCCGGACTAAACCAGGACTAAACCAGAAAACTAAACCAGGACTAAACCAGGACTAAACCAGGACTAAACCAGGACTAAACCAGTGGACTAAACCAATACTAAACATTGTCTAAACTAAAACTAAACCAGATTTTGAGCATCTTTTTATTATTTCCTGATTTAAAGCTGCACCGTGTAACATTTCTGGTGAACGTTCTGTAACAACCACCAGCATGCTAACCGCGCCCTTCCTGATCCTCACACAACTATACAACTCTATAGAAACATTAAAATAAAAGCTCAAATACAAGTTTTTTTTTTTTTTTTTTTTTTTGTGGCGGGGCATCTGGTTTAAAATGAGGACGGAGCCGAGGTCGAGTTTTAAAATAAGTGGATTAAAAAGTTTTGAAAGTCACGGAGAGATAAGAGAAAGAACGGAGAGAAAAAAAAAAAGAAGACGAAGAAGAAGGAGGAGAGAGATTTAAGCCGGAGCTGTGAGGAGACGGAGCGACGGGTCAGAGCTCAGGTCGACACGAGGCGCACCGAGTCAAACTCATTTATATTCACCAAGAAGAAGAAGAAGAAGAAGAGGGGGATTAAGAGAAAGAGAGAGAGAAGGAGGGAAGGAGGTGTTATTTAAGGAGAAGAGAAAGGTAGAAATCTGGTCTGTTCATTATGATAAGGTGAGTGAAAGAGAGAGAGAGAGAGGAGGGAGAGAGAGGGAGAGGAGGGAGAGAGAAAGAGAGAGAGAAGGAGGAAAGAAGGGGAGAGAGGGAGGGAGAGAGAAGAAGAGGAAGGAGGGAGAGAGTGAGGGGGAGCGAGAGAGAAGGAGGGAGAGAGAAAGAGAGAGAGCAGAAGGAAAGAAGGGGAGAGAGAGAGAGAGAGAGAGAAGGGAAGGAGGGAGAGAGAAGAAGAGGAAGGAGGGAGAGAGTGAGGGGGAGCGAGAGAGAAGGAGGGAGGGAGAGTGAGAGAGTGAGGGAAGGGGAGAGAGAGTGAGAAGAGAGAGATAGCAGAGGGAGAGAAAGAAGAGAGGGAGAAGAGAGAGAGGGAGAGAGGAGGGAGCAGAGGGAGGAAAAGGGAGAAGAGAAGGAGAGAGAGGGGGGAGAAGGAGAGGAAGGGAGAGAGAGAAGAGAAGAAGCAGCGGGATGGAGAGAGCAAGAGGGAGTAGAGAGAGAGAGAGAGGAAGGAGAGGGAGAAGGAGGGAGGGAGAGAGAAAGCAGAGGGAGAGAGGGAATAGAGGGAGGGCGAGAGAGAGGGGAGGGAGAGAAGGAGAGAGGGAGTGAGAGAATGAGAGACAGGAGAGAGAGAAAGAGGAGAGAGAGAGAGCAGAGAGAGAGAGAAAAGAGAGGGAGGAGGGAGAGGGAGCAGAGAGAAAGAAGAGAGAAAGAGAAGAGAGAGAAGAGAGGGAGAAGAGTGAGAGATGTATTATTTAAAGGGAAGAGAAAAGTAAACATTTGTTCTGTTCATTTTTAGACGAGTGGAAAATTTTGATTTTAAATTCCATAAACTTGACTTAACCGTCCCCAGATACGAGTTAAAATGTTCATACTACTACTACTACTACTACTACTACTACTACTACTACTACTACTACTACTGCTACTACTACTACTACTACTACTACTACTGCTACTACTGCTACTACTACTACTACTACTACTACTGCTACTACTGCTACTGCTACTACTACTGCTACTACTACTACTACTACTACTACTACTACTACTACTACTACTACTGCTACTGCTACTACTACTACTTACTACTACTGTTACTGCTACTGTTACTGCTACTACTACTACTACTACTACTACTACTACTACTACTACTACTACTACTACTACTACTACTACTGCTACTACTACTACTACTACTACTGCTACTACTACTACAGCTCGTCTTCCTCCTCTAACCCTCTCTCTGTCTCTTTCTGTTTCTCTCTTTTTTCTCAGCGTTCCACTGCAGTCTGGCGTTGGGGATGGAGTCGGGGAAAATCAGCGACGACCAGATTTCGGCGTCCACCACGTTTTACGACAATCGCTGGTTGCCGCGGCAAGCTCGCCTCAACAACGACGACAACGCCTGGACGCCGTCCGAGGACAGCAACAAGGAGTTCATACAGGTCAGTGCACGCCGCCTCTGCACACAGAGTCACTAAAGCTGCACTCTGTCACTTTTTGGATGGGCGTCTGTCACCTGTTTGTTTCTATGGATACGTCCCTGCTCTGGAATGTTCCGCAGTGTGACTTTAAACAGCTCGACTTTACATTTATTCAATTACTGGTGGTTTTAGAGCTCAAAAATACAGAGAAAAACAAACATTCTGACTGTGAGCGGGGTCGCCTCTCCACAGATCTGACCTGGAACTTGAGCTCTGTGAAGATAGGAAGGTTTAATGCCATACCGTGGAACATTCCAGACAAACCAATAACAACATCTCCAGAAAAGCAATTTTTTTTCTATTTTTAATTCTGTTTATTCAAATTTAGCAATTTACAAAATGTACAGTTTTGCACATTTGAATCATTCAGAGACAAAAAAAAAAAAGAAATATTTAGAATTATAATAAATAAATAAATACGTAAATAAATAAATTAAATTAAATTAAAAAAATTAATCAAACAAAACACCCGCACAAATTAAAAAAAATATATAATAATAATGATTTTAAATATATAAATTTAAATAAAGTATAACATAAAAAATAAAATAATGAACAAAACAAAACACCTTCACAAATTAAAAATATATATATATATATAATAATAATGTAAAATATATACATTGAAATAAAATAAAATATAAAATAAAAAATAAAATAATGAACAAAACAAAACACCCACACAAATTAAAAATATATATGATAATAATTTAAATATATATAAAATTAAAATAAAATAAAAAAATAAAATGAAATATAAAAGAGCCCTTGTTTGTTTCTCAGTGAAAACAATATTTTTTTTGTTTGTTATTTTATTAAATTTTTTGTTGTTGGAGGTTTTTACTTTTTCATTTCAGTAAAATCAGACTCAGTGGGGACCGGAAAAGTTACACGTTACACCTTCAAGTGTTATGCTCCTAGTGTAATGTACGTGTTTCACCTTCAGAACTGTAAGTGCACGATTAGCATTCCATTGTCTGGATCTCTCCCTTCAAAAAGATTTTTAAAAAGATTTTTTTTTTTTTTTTTGCAGCGCTTCTTCAGATCCGATGTATTTTCTCTCATTTTTGCATCTGTCCCTAATGTATAAACACCAGAATTTGTGAATTATTTCATGTTTTATTTTACCAATTAAATTAACGTCAGATTATTAACTCAGATGTTGCGTCCAGACCATAGACCGCGTGAAAAACTCTTGTCATTTTGGGCTTAAAATGTTCGTATTAACCCGCTCTACATGATCCTGGAGTTTTTATTTTGGTATTTTGTCGCTTCTTAGTAATTCGCTGACTGCAGACCTCGATGAGCTTCATTTGACTGGAGTTACGTGTGACGATGTGCTCCTTTAGTCCACTTTTTTACACCGTCGCTGCTCTTAACTTCAAATAACAAACGTAGAAAAGTAAATAGGAGAGATAATTGGTTTTATATTTTATTTACAAGTCTTAAATTTGATAGAAAATGTTAAGTTATGCACAAACAACATTTAAAAGTCTGGCTCGAGCCCATTAGCCGCGTGTTTGTCTCCGCGCCGGTGCCTCTTTAAATAAACCGTTGCATTTGCATGTGATTGAAAACAGAATCACGCGTCGTAACGTAAACGGACATGTAAACGGTGTCGGCGCAGAGTGTTTAAAGTGTGTTTAAAACGGTGATCTGCTCTAATCCCGGCGACGCTCCGCCAGGCACGACTCTCCTCCGCCAACGGATGGAAAATCCTGGATGGAAATGAGGATCCGGAGCTGGAGCGACGAGAGCAGAGAGCGACGAGGAGAAAATATAACAAATATTTAAAATACTCAGGAGCAGAGTCGATACACAAGACTGATTCTGATACTACGAGGTCTGAACAAGGGCTAAATCAGGTCTAAATCAGGTCTGAACCAGGCCTAATCAGGTCCAAACCAGGTCTAAACCAGGACTAAACTAGGACTAAACCAGGTCTAAACCAGGACTAAATCTAAAGGTCCAGGTCTAAACCAGGTCTAAACTAGGTCTAAACAAGGTCTAGACAGGACTAAACTAGGTCTAAACCAGGACTAAACCAGGACTAAACAGGTAAACTAAACCAGGTTTAACTAAACCAGGACTAAACTAGGTCTAAACCTAAACAGGACTAAACCAGGACTAAACCAGGTCTAAACCAGGTCTAAACCAGGTCTAAACCAGGACTAAACCAGGACTAAACCAGGTCTAAACCAGGTCTAAACCAGGACTAAACCAGGTCTAAACCAGGTCTAAACCAGGACTAAACTAAACCAGGTCTAAACCAGGACTAAACCAGGTCTAAACCAGGTCTAAACTAAACCAGGTCTAAACCAGGACTAAACCAGGTCTAAACCAGGTCTAAACAGGTCTACTAAACCAGGTCTAAACCAGGTCTATAAACCAGGTCTAATCCAGGTCTAAACCAGGTCTAAAACCAGGTCTAAACCAGGTCTAAACCAGGTCTAAACCAGGTCTAAACAGGTCTAAAACAAGGTCTAAACAAGGTCTAAACCAGGTCTAAACCAGGTCTAAATCCAGGTCTAAACCAGGTCCAGGTCCCAGGTCTAAATCAGGTCTAAATCAGGTCTAAATCAGGACTAAACCAAGTCTGAACCAGGACTAAATCAGGTCTAAACCAGGTCTAAACCAGGTCTAAATCAGGTCTAAATCAAGTCTAAACCAGGTCTAAACCAGGACCTCGGTCTTCCTCTGTTTGTTTGTAGCTTGTTTATCCTCCATCTTGGTGCTGTAGACCAACACTGAACATCAGAGCAGCTCTTTCTCTATCTCCTCCTCTCCTCTCTCCATCTCCTCTGTCTTCTCCTCTTTCTCCTCATTTCTCTCCATCTCCTCTCTCTCTCTCTCTCCTCATTTCTCTCCATTCTTCTCCATCTCCTTCCGTTTCTCAATCTCTTCTCTCAGCTCCTCCTCTCTTTCCTCCTCTCTCTCTCTCTGTTTCCTCTGTCTCCTCCTCTTTCTATCTCCCCCTGTTTTTCCTTTCTCTCCTCCTTGTCTCTCTCCACCTCCTCTCTATCTCCTCCTCTCATCTACTCTCTCCATCTCCTCCTCTCCTGCCTTCTCCTCTGTCTCCTCCTTCTTGTCTCTCCATCTCCTCGTCTCTCTCTCCTCGTCTCTCTCCATCTCCTCTGTCTTCTCCTCGTTTCTCTCCTTCTCTCTCTCCATCTCCTCATCTTTCCCCATCCCTCTCTCTCTCCTCTTTTCTCCTTCCTGTCTCTCCTCCTCTCTTCTCTCTCTCCTCCTCTCTCCACCTCCTCCTCCTCCTCTCTCCATTTCTTCAGTCTCGTTCTCCTCTCTCCTCCTCTTCTCCTCCTCCCTCCTTCCTTTCTCCTTCTTCTCCTCCTCTGTCTCCTCCTTTTCTCCATCTCCTCCTCTCTCTCCTCTCCTCTCATCTCTCTCTCTCTCTTCTCCATCTCCTCAGTCTCCTCTCGTTCTCCTCGCTCTCCTCCTTCCTCTCCCTCCTTTTCCCCCTCTCCTCTCTCCATCTCCATCTCCTCTCTCTCTCCCTCCTCTCTCTCCTTCTCCTCTCTCTCTCTTTTCTCTCCATCTCATGTCTCTCCTCCTCTTTCTCTATCTCCTCCTCCCCTCTCGTCCTTTCCTGTCTCCATCTCCTCTCTCATCTCATCTCTCACTTCTCCTCCTCTCTCCTCCTCCTCTCTCTCCTCTGTCCTCCCCCTCGTGTCTCTCTCTCTTCTTCTCTTCATCTCCTCCTTTTTCTCCTGTGCCTCTCATCCTCCTTTCTACATCTCCTCTCCATCTCCTTCTCTCTCTCCTTCTCCTCTCTCTCTCTCTCTCCATCTCCTCCTCTCTCTCCTCTTCCTCTCCTCTCTCTCCTCTCTCTCTCCTCTCTCTCCTCTCTCTCTCCTCTCTCTCTCTCTCTCCTCCTCTCTCCTCCTCTCTCCTCCTCTCCTTTTCTCTCCATCTCCTGTCTCTCCTCTCTCTCTCTCTCTCCTCCTCTCTCTCTCCTCTCCTCCTCTTCTGTCCTTATCTCCCTCCATCTCTTCCTCTCCTCCTCTGTCTCCTTCTCCTCTGTCTCTCTCTCCTCCTCTCTCTCCGTCTCCTCCTCTGTCTTCTCTCTTCCCTTCTCTTCATCTCCTCCTCTTTCTCCTGTGCCTCTCATCTCCTTCTCTCCTCTCCTCCTCTCCCTCTCTCTCTCTCTCTCCTCTCTCCTCTCTCCTCTCTCCTTCTCCTCCTCTCTCTCTTTTCTCTCTCTCTCTCTCTCTCTCTCTCTTCTCTCTCTATCTCCTCCTCCCCTCTCGTCCTTTCCTGTCTTCCATCTCCTCTCTCATCTCATCTCTCACTTCTCCTCCTCTCTCCCCTCCTCCTTCCCTCTCTCCGTCTCCTTTCCTCTCCTCTGTCCTCCTCCTTTCTCTCCATCTACTCCTCTCTCTCCTCTACCTCTCATCCTCTCTCATCCTCCTTTCTCCATCTCCTCTCTCTCCTTCTCTCTCTCCATCTCCTCAGTCTCCTTCCACTCGTTCTCCTCGCTCTCCTCCTTCCTCTCCCTCCTTCTCCCCTCTCCCTCTCTCCTCTCTCCATCTCCTCTCTCTCTTCCTCTCTCCTCCTCTCTCTCCTCTCCTCCTCTCTCTTTTCTCTCCATCTCATGTCTCTCCTCCTCTTTCTCTATCTCCTCCTCCCCTCTCGTCCTTTCCTGTTCTCTCCATCTCATCTCTCACTTCTCCTCCTCTCCCCTCCTCCTTCCCTCTCTCCGTCTCCTTTCCTCTCCTCTGTCCTCCTCCTTTCTCTCCATCTACTCCTCTCTCTCCTCTACCTCTCATCCTCTCTCATCCTCCTCTCTCCATCTCCTCAGTCTCCTTCCACTCGTTCTCCTCGCTCTCCTCCTTCCTCTCCCTCCTTCTCCCCTTCCCTCTCTCTCTCTCTCCATCTCCTCCTCTTTCTTCTCCTCCTCTCTCTCTCTCCTCCTCCTCTCTCTCCTCCTCTCCTCTCTCTTTCTTGTCTCTCTCTCCTCTATCTCCTCCTCCCCTCTCGTCCTTTCCTGTCTCCATCTCCTCTCGTCTCATCTCTCACTTCTCTCCTCTCTCCCCTCTCCTCTCCTCTCCTTTCTCCTCCTCTCCCCTCCTCCTTCCCTCTCTCCGTCTCCTTTCCCCTCCTCTGTCCTCCTCCTCTCTCTCCTCTACCTCTCATCCTCTCTCATCCTCCTTTCTCCATCTCCTCAGTCTCCTTCCACTGTCTCTCCTTGCTCTCCTCCTTCCTCTCCCTCTCTCCTCTCTCCATCTCCTCCTCTTTCTCTCTCCCTCTCTCCTCCCTCCTTCTCTCCATCTCTCCGTCTGCAGTCGTTCTTGTGATAGATGACGTTGTCTGTGTGAATGGATTCCTGCATTAGACACATTGATCTCAGACTCGGCTCACAGGAAACACACACACACACACCCGACACACACACACACACACACACACACACACACACACACCTCCAGATGCCCCCCCGGCTCGTCTGAGGTGGGGGGTAAACGTTTTTTTTTTACCCCCCCGGGTTTCATCCAGCTGTTCTGTCTGCGCTCACATCTGCACGCCTCAATAATCCGTCTGTAACTAAACATTCTTAAACATTTTTTACTCCAATAAAACACAAAAATTAATTAAAACCCAACTTTAAACCTTTGTGTCTGCACCGAGACCGAACCGGACCAAGTCACAGGTCAGATCTGTGGAGAGGCGACCCCGCTCACAGTCAGAATACTTGTTTTTCTTTGGATTTTTGCTCTAAAAAAACCACCTGTATTTGAATAAATCTAAAGTAGAGCTGTTTAAAGTCACACTGCGGAACATTCCAGGTAGAGCAATGACATAGAAACAAGCACCCAGCCAAAAAGTTACACAGTACAGCTTTAAAATAAGTCAAATAATTCAATTTGTATATGTTTTTAATTCTTTTTTGAGTAGTAAAATGTACAACGGCACATTCTGATCACGTCTGCTGTTGTTTGAAGTTAAAAATTCAAGAGCGCTAAACTGTGGGTTTCAGGATGATGTCATTAAGATCGTTGCCATGGTAATTAAATATTTTATATCCTGTCGTCTGGATGGCAAAAAGTCCTCATCTCTCCTAATTTTCTGTTTTAACCCATTGTAAAAAAATAAAAATAAAATAAATAAAAAAAAAAAAGCAGCCTGAACTTAAATATATTACATTAATATATTAATATAATATTCTAACTTAAACTAAGTTAAAAATGTTAAGTAATGAAAGTCATCATGTTTTTACTCATAGCAAGTGAAGTGAAGTCAACTTGAAATGGTTTAGTTTTTAAAATATGTAATTGTTTTTTTTGTTTTGTTTTTTTGTTTTAGTTTTTTTTTTTCAATACATAATTTTCTGTTTTAAAGCACTGTAAAAAAAAAAAAAAAAAAAAAAAAAAAAAAAAATTCTAACTAATACTAAGACTAGCGGCAAGTACAAGCAACTTAAAAATACTTTAAACCGACTTAAAGATGCAGTGAGTCACTTTTCCTGCCCATAACAGGAAACTAAAACCCATGAAAAACCAATAAATAGTGAAGTCAACTTTTTATGAACTTAAAAATTCTAACTTAGACTAGTGGCAAGTACAAGCAACTTAAAAATGTTAAGTGATGATTGATTTATAGAAAAACAAACCCATTAATAAGTCAACTTAAAATGGTTAAGTTATAATAGTTTATTGTTAGTTTTTTCTGTCTTAATACATTGTTAAAAGAATAAAAAATAAATATTCTAACTTAGACTAAGACTAGCTGTGTTATTTTCTGTTTTAATGCATTGTAAAAGAAAAAAAAACTTAAATATTCCAACTAAAGACTAGCGCCAAGTACAAGCAACTAATAAAAGTGACATTTTTACTTTTTAAATTCAACCTATTGATTTGATTGAACATATAGAAACATTTTAAAGCAGCGTAACATGTGATAAACGGGTGAGTCGCCCCCAGAGCCTCGTCCAGCTGCTGTGTCTGTGGAAACATCTGGACTGTTCAATAATCCTGTCTGCAGACGAACTAAAGCTTTACATGGAAACGCTTCTGTAACGCAAATATATCCTGTACTGTACGTCCTGTTGCTGGGCAGAAATCACCTCTGTACGTTTTGATCTTCTAACGGTTTAATGATGCAGATGTTCTGTTTGTATTAAAGTCTTTAAATGGAAAATTGGACTTAATATATTTATTTAGGGTCAAAATGTCTGTTGTTGTAAATAAGCTGTGTTTCATTTGTTTTTCAATATAAAACCAAAAATAAGAAAATGAAAAATCAACTGTTTTTTTTCATTATTTGTCTCTAAAACAAAAATAAAACAACGGATAACGGTTAGTTTTTTCAGTTTTTGATTTTGTGTTTAAATGAAAAGTGGAAAAAACGGATAACGACATTTACATGACGTCCGTGACTGTGATGCTGGACTTTTACGCCACATACGGACTGAACCAGGACTGATCCAGGTCCGGGACCAGACCGGGACCAGAGTGGGACTGAGACCGGGACCAGACCGGGACCAGACCGGGACCAGACCAAGACCAAGACCAAGACAAGACCAAGACAAGACCGGGACCAGACCGGGACCAGACTGAGACCAGACTGAGACCAGACCGGGACCAGACCGAGACTGAGATCAGAACTGAAACCAGGACCAGACCTAGACTGAGACCGAGACAAGACCGGAACCAGACCGAGACTGTGATCAGAACTGAAACCGGGACCAGAGCGGGACTGAGACTGAGACCAGACCGAGACCAGACTGGAGGCTCAGAGCCCGCAGAGGCTCAGAGTCAAAGCTCGGAGTTCACTCTGGTCCCGCTCTGGTCCCGCTCTGGTCCCGCTCTGGTCCCGCTCTGGTCCCGCTCTGGTCCCGCTCTGGTCCTGGACCTGGATCAGTCCTGGTTCAGTCCGTACGCAGGCGCAAAAGTCCGACATCACAGTCACTGAAGTCACGTAAACGGGAAACGGTCGTTATCAGTTTTTTCCATTTTTCATTTAAACACAAAATCGAAAAACTGAAAAAAAGAATTGTTATCCGTTGTTTCATTTTTGTTTTAGAGACAAATAATGAAGAAAACTGTTGTTTTTTCATTTTCTTATTTTTGGTTTTATATTGAAAAACAAATGAACGAATGATACACGGATTGTAAACGCTGAGCTGAACCATGTTAAAATTAAACATATACATTTAATGAAAAGAAATTAGTTTTTTAAATTCTTATTATTCATTTTAGCTTTAATTTTCAAATGTTTATTAACAAACGCTGGCCACATTTACATTAAGTTTAATTCTGAATTATTTGTTAAATAGTTTGGAATTAAAATATTCAAGCATGCGCTGAACCACCGACATTATTTTTAACAAGAATAAACGTTTACATGATCGAGGAACAAATTAATTTGGCTTTAAAATCTGAATAAACCACCCACTTACATCGAAATTAAGTTTAATTCTGAATAATCATTTTCATTATTCATTCATTTACATGGTCTTTTTAAAGCTGAATTAATTTTTATGCAAAATTAAATTATTTTTATTCAGAATTAAAGCTCTCTTGGGACAAAAATGACACTATAGTGAGAAACAGGTGACCTTTAATAAAATGTAGAGAAATTAAAACGATTTAGAGACCAGAGCAGAGTTTTACCGTCACTGAAATCCTGACAACTAGCAAGCTATGTGCACACTTCCTGCTTCTAAGACGATAAAACACTTGTAATAATAATTAGATGCAGACAGTTCACCGCTGATATGGAAAAGGTGCATTTATTTCTCCGTTTCGTCTCTCCCCAGGTGGACCTTCACTTCCTCAAAGTCCTGACCGGGATCGCCACGCAGGGGGCCGTTTCCAAGGAGACGCAAAAGTCCTACTTCGTGACATCGTTCAAGCTGGAGGTCAGCACCAACGGGGAGGACTGGATGGTTTACCGCCTCGGCAAGAACCACAAGGTGAGACCGGCTCCGTTTGTTTACACACAAACACGACACACCGGCGCTTTTCTACGGGCTGGAATTTCAGGATCGTTTCCCACGGCGACGGATGGAAACTGGTTTGAGATTTTATCTTTATTTTAAGGACAACGGTTTGTTTACTGATCAGTTTTGTCTGTTAGAGCAGAGCGGTTCAGAGAAGTCACTGATCAGACGGAGAGTTTGGGACTAAACTTTCAAACTCGATTTCGATACTAAGGAACAGACTTGAGACTCGATACTGATACTGATACTGATACCACGATAATAATAATAAAAACACTCTTTCTGTAGATGGTAGAATGTAATTATCAACATTAAATGGTTGTAAAAAAACACAGAGGAAGTGAAAGTTTTTATATTTATTCACATGATAAAGGGACCTCCTTTATACAATAAAAAAAAAAAAATAAATAAATGAATAAATTAAATAAAACAAGCAAATAAAAACAAAATGACATGAACTCGTATTTGATTGCGTATAAAATAAAATAAGCAATAAATAAAAAAATAAAATAAAATAAATAAAAATAAATAAGCAAAATAAAATAAATAAAAAATAAATAAATAATAATAATAAATAAAATAAATAATAAATAAAAAATAAATAAAAATAAAATAAAAAAAAATAAATAAAATAAAATAATAAATAGCAATAAATAAATAATAAATAAACATAAATAATAAATAAATAATAAAAATAAAAGCAATAAATAAAATAAATAAGCAAATAAAATAAAATAAGCAAAAAAACCAAAAATGAGCTTAACTCATATTTGATTGCGTATAAAATAAAATAAGCAATAAAAAAATAATAATAATAATAATTAAGCAATAAATTATAAATAAATAAAAATAAATAAGCAAATAAAATAAAATAAGCAATAAATAAATAATAAATAATAATAAATTAATTAATAATAAATAAGCAATAAATAATAATAAGTAAATAAATAAATAAATAAGCAATAAAATAAGCAAATAAAAACAAAATGACCTTAACTCATATTTGATTGCGTAAAAGCGCCCGTCTCTCTTTTCTTTTCTGCGTGTTTGAGCCTTAACCTCTTTCTCCTGGAACATCCTGCAGCTTTATCAGCAGATTCCTCGCCTTAAGCGCTGCTCCTCTTCCTTGACAAAGTTTACGAAGCGCGACCGAAAGTCATGAGACCGGGCGCGAAAAAAACAAGGGTCAAAACGGCCGGCGCGAGATAGCGAGGAGGAAGGAGGGGACGAGGACAAAGCTCTCCTCTGTGCTCCTCTTATCTCTAAAACGATTCATCATTTTTCTCACACCAGCGCGTCCAAACAAACGGCACGATTATGAAACGTGCTTCGGAGGGCGAGGACGCAGAGTTCAAGTCCGGTTCCGGCGCAGTTTTGGGTGAATTTGTGTGAAATCCGACGTGTTCTCGTGGTAAACGGATTGAAACGGATCGAAACTGAACTACAGACGAGATGTTTTTAAAAGGATTAAACCTGGACTGAACCAGGACTAAATAAAAGTAGGACTAAACCAGGTCTAAACTAGATCCAAACCAGGTGTAAATCAGGACTAAACCAAGATTCTGTATTCTAAAACCAAGGACTCAACCGGGACTCATTTGGAACTGAACCAGGACTAAACCAGGACTAAACCAGGATTAAATCAGCATTAAACCAGGATTAAACCAGGACTAAACCAGGACTAAACCAAAACCAAACTGGGACTCCATCAGGACTAAACCAGGACACAACTAAATCCAAACTAGAACCGAAGTAGGCCCAAATCGGAACCAAATCAGGACTCAACTAGGACTAAACCAGGACCAAACGAGGACTTGACCAAGACTAAACCAGGACTCAAACCAGGACCCAACCAGGATTCAAGCAGGACTAGACCAGGACTCAAACCAGGACTCAAACCAGGACCCAACCAGGATTCAACCAGGACTAGACCAAGGCTAGACCAAGACTAGACCAGGACCAAACCAGGACTCAAACAGAACCAAACCAGGACTCAACCGGGCCCAAACCAGGACTAAACTAGGACTCATCCAGGACTCAATCAAGACTCAACCAGGACTCAATCAAAACCAAACTAGGACCAAATTAGGACCAAACCAAAACGAGACCAAGACTAGACCAAGACTAGACCAAGACTAGACCAAGACTAGACCAAGACTAGACCAAGACTAGACCAGGTGTAAATTGATCCATGTCTAACTCAGGTCTCAGCCTGGACAAAACCTGGACTCGACCAGGACTCAACCAGGACTCAACTTGGACTCGACCAAGACTCAACCTGGACTCAACGAGGACTCGACCAAGACTAAATCAGGACCAAACCAAGACAAAAACAGATGTAAACTCACTCTGATCCAGTCTAAACCATGTCTAATCCAAATCTCAACCAGAACTCAATCAGGACTAAACCAGGACTAAACCAGGACTAGACTAGACCAGGACTGGCCCAGGCCCTGTAGACCTCCGGCTGTAGTCCGCTGTTGTTGTTTTGCGGCGTGGACTCGTCTGGAGGGGATTTGACCCCCGACCCCTCCATCTGCGTCGGGGTCGTGTTGGATTCTGAGCCACATTAAAGGGGCGGCATTAAAGGGAAAGTATTAAAGGGATGTGGAGTGTGGGGGGAGAGATAATCCACTCCAGTCCCATCCCCAGCGCCTCCTGCTGGGACCAGTCCCACCAGGATCCAGGATTTACAAGGAAAAACCCAATAACAGAACGTTTATATATGTGTAGAACTGGACGGAATAAATATTTACAAGTACACAAAACTACTACTACTACTACTACTACTACTACTACTACTACTACTACTACTACTACTATACTACTACTACTACTACTACTACTACTACTACTACTGCTACTACTACTACTACTACTACTACTACTACTGCTACTACTACTACTACTACTACTACTACTACTACTACTACTACTACTACTACTACTACTACTACTACTACTACTACTACTACTACTACTACTACTACTACTACTACTACTACTACTACTACTACTACTACTACTACTACTACTACTACTACTGCTACTGCTACTACTACTACTACTACTACTACTACTACTACTACTACTGCTACTACTACTACTACTACTACTACTACTACTACTACTACTACTACTACTACTACTACTACTACTACTACTACTACTACTACTACTACTACTACTACTACTACTACTACTACTACTACTACTACTACTGCTACTACTACTACTACTACTACTACTACTACTACTACTACTACTACTACTACTACTACTACTACTACTACTACTACTACTACTACTACTACTACTACTACTACTACTACTACTACTACTACTACTACTACTACTACTACTACTACTACTACTACTACTACTACTACTACTACTACTACTACTGCTACTACTACTGCTAACTGCTACTGCTACTGCTACTACTACTGCTACTACTACTACTGCTACTACTACTACTACTACTGCTACTACTACTACTACTACTACTGCTACTACTACTACTACTACTACTACTACTACTACTACTACTACTACTACTACTACTACTATTACTACTAATTATAGATAAAATTACAAAAATGCAATAACTGAGTTGGCTTGACTTGAAAAAATGCGAGTACAGGAGCATGTTTTGGTGCTTTGAAAACCGTTTAATCCCGTTATAACTATTATTTTTCGCTGTAAATAATCTGGGTTTATTATGGCTAAAATTACCAAAATATTTATAAAAATACACAAAATAGTAACAAAAAAGTAAAAAATTTAAATTGTCTAAATATTCATATGATCGTTTGTGGAATTTCTACCTATGATGCAACAATCCAGGCAAAATGAGACTTTCCGAGTGCTAAAATTACCAACATATCTATAAAAAAAATACAAAAAATAATAATAAAAACTTAAATATTTCACATATTCTAAATTAAAACAAACAAAATAGCCTAAATAATCTTATGTTAGTTTGTGGAATTTCTACCTATGATGCAACAATCCAGACAAAATGTAACTGGAGAATTTTTTTAGTGCAAATTTGGATTTTAATCAACAAATTTGACCTTGTGATGTCATGAAGTGGTAGTTTTGAAGTTGACCAGCTCCTTTTTACCTTTCGTTCAGTACAGATTGGCAATTTTAGGTCTGAAATTATCCTAAATATACAGAGTTTTTCGTGAGTTAAACATGTTTGAATGAAACAAAACACAACTCCAGGTCCGTTTGTGACGAAGGAAACGACTTCAGAACATAGAGCAGACGAGAAAATGACGTAATCTAGACTTTTTAATCTCTCCTCCGTGTGATTAGAAGCTCTCGATCTTTACGTCGACTGCGAGATAATCCTGTGCCGTTTCCTTTTTCTCCGTGTAATTTCCCGCTCTCTCTCTCTCTCGGTTTCTCTCACGGCTTCAGTTCTTTATAGCTCCACACGCACCGATCCGGCCGCCCCTTTAAATAACCCAGGGCTAAACTGGGCTCGTCTGTCTGGGCTGCGAGTTTGTAGCGGCGCGTCTGGGAGCTCGACTGTAATCGGACGCCGCTAATCTGTCCGAGAGGCATTTTTCAGACGGGCCGTTACCGCGCGCGAGGGTGGCGTTGCCGTGCGCGGTTGCCAGGGGGAAAATGAAATTAGTTTAAGAGCGAGATGGACGCGCCGAGATGTGAGGGAGTACGGGAGGGAGTTTGGTGTTTTGACAACCGTTTAATCCCGTTATAACTATACGGCAACTTTTAACTACAAGTAATATGGGTTTATTATGACTAAAATCATATTTATATTTATAGTTATATTTATTTATATAAATACATAGAAATTTCAAATATTGTGTCCTATTTTTCCATCCAATTCTAAGCAAATAGATTTAGTTAATGTTTTTACTTAGACTGAACTTAAATATTCAGATTTATATGTATAGCTGTAAAAAAAAAACAAACAGGTATTTGTGGTATTTTTTTCT